GGATGCTGGAGCAGGAATCCAGCACTAAGGGGGCAGAGGGAAAGAGCTGGTTATTGAGGGTGAGATGGGGTGGGGTGAGAGTGGGAGACAGAAAGAGCAGCTTCACAGAAGCAGGGGCTTTGGAGAGGGAGCCAGAGGGAAGGGGAGTAAGACTGTGGACAGGCCAGAGAGAATTGCTCCCAGGGGAAGGACACTCAAAGGGACAAGAGAGGTGAGGCTGAACCACAGGTAGTTTTGTGCCACTGGGAGGGAGGCAGGAGGGGAGTAGGATGGAGAGCATGGACGGAGGCCAAGTCATGAAGGCCCCCAGATGCTGCACCTCCAGTGGGGTCTGGCCAAACCACCCACTCACTCATATGCTGACCCTTTGCCTTTACTCAAGCATCTCCTCTGCCTGCGATGCTCCGCCCTCGGCTCTATGCATCCTAATCCTGCCGCCTTCCAAACACAGTTCCTGGCTGCCCCCTGGGCACACGCTTCTCTGATGGCCCAAGCAAGAAATAACTCTTCTCTCCAACTTCCAAACTCCTCCCACCACTGGGCCATTCTGTGATTGGGAAGCAGTCACCCTCAGCGGGTGACAGCACTTCCCGGTCTATAATGCTGCACACACACCTGATCTCACCTAGTCGTCACACCAGGGAGGGCAGAATTAAGATCCCCTCCCCCACTCCCATCCTGTCCCACAACACAGATGAAAAGGGCAGCCTGGGAGTGAAAGTCACTGTGAGCACACGTGACTTGTGGAGTTACGCAAGATAAAAGTCCACAGTTTGCAATCCCCAAATTTATTGCTGTTACTCAGTACCTTTTGCCTGTAACTGTGGCACTCATCGCTTTCCTTGTGCTATCATTGTTTATAAACGCACTTTATCTCTCGCATTTCTGTATGTCTTCAATCCGGAGTTTTTAGCAATAGAAAATGCTACAATTATTTAATTAATGTTGGGGGTATTAAATACACAGGTCAAAAAATTAGACAATTCAGACATCTTAAATTGTGTGCAGAAAGAAGTTTTTCTTGGAAAGAAATGGTATTTTAGACGGGTGATGGGGGGGGTCCCTTTTCACAAGGGGAAGCAGTAGAATCACTCTGCAGGGTAACTTCCCCTCTCATTCTTTCCCCAGTCCCAAGAAGGAGCCACTGACCGGTATGGGTTACCCTCGTAGGGTGTATGTATTATTTGCATAGTGAAATGCTTCCTGGAGACAGGCACATGAAAGGGAAAACTCAAATAAAATAACAGGACTCTGTTCTGATTCGTTGGGTTTCTTCCTTTTGAATGTCTGGACACTTGCCCACCCCGACTGTCCTGGCTCTTTTCTCCCTCTTGGCTCCCCTCAAAGGTGGTGGTGGCCGCCCTGTGCAGCTGCTGCGCATGCGCTGGGTGCCCGTTCCCTGGGAGCCTCAGGCACCTGCGCAGGAGAGGGAAGCCCTGTTGCCCAGTCTTCCCCATCTTGGGCTGTGGCACCGTAATTATCGCTGCCTTCCATTCGCTTCTAAAGGACAAGCATTCAAGACAATGGACATAGAGCTGCAGGGTCAATAAGCCCCTTTGTAACACTTGTCTTCCAACCCCCTACCCCTCCGCCGGGGACACCTGCTTTTTGCACCTGGGGCCACTCTCAGTATCATCTGGTCCACAATCAGAGACCAGGGGAAAGCCCTGTGGGCTTACT